ATTATTTTTCTTTGTAAACGATGGCTCTTAGCTTGCCTCCTCACAGCAGCAGTAGGATTGGATTGGTTCTTTGGGAGCTATCACATTCCCTCTACAGGCACCACTGGATCCTGGCCGGTGCTGGTTACTCTTGGTTTGGACTCAGGGTGCAGAGGGCTGGGCACATGGGAATTTGGGGTGCTGGTGCTGACATGGTCAAGCCTTTGTCGGCTTTAAATCTAGGGGTCCCTAGGTTAGATACTGTACATGGAAGAAAATAACAATAATTGTGAGGACGAGCCGGCTGGAGCACATGGGGAATTTTGTTCTGTATTATTATGCATTTTTAAATAATTTTCATACAAATTTGTTCACAAAGACCTGTTTTTCCTTTCAACCTTTATAGACACAGAAATACTGGGCTCGCTGGAGACACTGTAGTAAAATCAGCTTTGTATTCTGACCTTGAAACCCTAGTGCACATTTCCTTCATTTGGTTGGACGTTTGGGGCAAGAGAAAGGACTGTGCTTCTTGCACAGAAAAAACAGCCATGTCGAGATTCATTTCCAGAATGAATTTCTATGAGCAAGTGATTTATTTTAAAAAATGGCTTTTCTCCTTCTCATTGTGAAGATACGAGTGCTCACACACGGTAAAAACATTGATTTTGGACTTTTATTGTTTCTTTTCAAGACAAGATCAAAAGAGGAACTACTGTAAATGTCCCGTCTTGCTAAAAACCAAAAGGCAAATGGGGGCAAAACCTTATCACAAAATAAACTCATACTGTTGTTATCTGTATCTGAGTATTAAACTCATACAGTTGTTACCTATGAATAACAGCTCGGGACACTATAATATTTGGTTGACTGTCTTTAGTATAGTAATTACATAACTAATTACATACTCTGAGGATTTGCACAAGAATATACAGTATTGTGTATTATTGCTATCAATAAAACCATAATTTCAACAATTTACACAATGAATTAAAATTAAAATTACATCTTCAGATTTAATTTTAATTTCAGTGGGAAGTATTAGTCTCTGATTCCATTACTTTATGGAGCATTTTAACATCATATTAGAGGTTTCTCAAAGGATGGGCAAAGACTGGTTGTGATAAACTCTTCTGTGCCACGAGCATCAATCTCTTCCTCAAGCCTGACAAACCAAATAACATAAAAATAAAAGTGTCAGGATAGTTGAGCAGTTTTTTTTCTTTATCACACTCAATTGCTTCTCAAGCACTGACTTACTTCCACTTCAGAACTGATAAGACTGTTAAAAAGGCACTAAAGCTATTGTCATGGCAAGCACACAGAGGTTCTAATGGTTAAATGCAAGAGCCATGTAAGGTTGTCTATGCCGCGCAATCGCATGAAATGCTAAGGTTGGAAAGTGCATCTTAAGCTGTAAACTTCAAGGCTTTAATTGACATTATTGCTTGCTCACTCTTAGACAGCTTTAAAAAAACACCCATTCAATCATCAGGTTTCTAGGGCACCCAACACATATAAAGACATATCTTGAGCACTTTATACAATCTGTTAAAATCAATCAAAAACAAGTTCAAATTTAACTATGAGACTGACCAGTCAAAAAGTGTCAACTTTGCTTTAAAACAAGGATGTTCAAGAAATGCAAGGGAAGAAGGAGAGATCAATTCCATGTTAAAAGGTAGAAGAAAACCACAGCTCCTCCACAGCAGAGCCAGAGAAAGATTGAGATATCTAAAGGAGCAAGAGATTAAAATGCCTGTGTATAAAGGGGAATATGAATTATACCAGACCCATGGAGATGGGTGCTTGATTGGGGTCTCAATCCCAGAAGTGCTCAGAGAAAGAAGTGCTGCACCATGCAGAGATACGGCAGTGAGCAACAATACTCTAGTAATAGGGAACCAATGGAGAGCCAACAAACAGTTACACTATGATGTCAAGTTTTGGAAGCTCAGTGGGGACAACATTGCAATATTTCTACATAACAGCTAGGATTCACCGTCTTGCTTTTCAAACTTTTTAAAAGACATCTTTTTTTTCAAGACAGCTTTTCAAACTTTTTAAAATTGTTATAATCGGCTTTTGATGAGTGTGTGTGCATTATTCTTTAATTCTTCTTTATCCTAGTGAGAAGCTCTTGACAATGAAGTTAAGATGTGAAAAGAGCAGCTCAAGTGAATGAAGCTGCTCTACGAGATGATCTGAACTAGATAGGTAAACACGAGAGATGTGTGATGGAACAACCAGAGACCGTGCAGCTGGAATTGCTAGTAACTGGACATTCTGTGGAGAAATGCACAACTTATTTTCTGTTGTTTGTCTTCACAATTGGCTAAGAAACATTTGTGTAAAGCAAATGCTTATTTGGATTTTTGCTTTCAATAACATGTCCATGTGTTCCCATAGTTATGACCATGTTTACACATAAGTGCTCAAATCTTTATTGATTCTGCTTTCAAGTTGTTAATACTGTAAATCTAGTATGAAGCCAAAAGCCATATAAAAGAAGAAAGCATGAGCCATGCATAAATGAAACGATTATTAAAGTTAATTTTCTTTGGAACACTGGTGATTAAAAAGTATAATTGTTTTTTTTTCTAGTTGAGCAAACTGATAGATAAGCTTTGTGGTTTAATAAAAGGAACGGTAACCCTTCATTATCAAGTACCATGGTTAAACACTCAGATGCTCTACTTGCAGATCAATTATCGCTCAAGCATTCCTGTATGTGGAATGCTTATGTTGTAAGACAGCCAAAGGAAACCGCTAATCAGGGCTTTTCTGGCAGCCCATGTGACCAACACCAAACTTAGCAGGAGAGGGCTTCTCTGTGGTCATATATCATGCCAACTAGGTAGTGCTGCTACAGGAACTACAAGCAAGAACATATCATATTCCAAAACCATAAACATCTGCCCCGCCACTATGCTGTACAGATATGGATCTACAGACACTTTTGTTTCTCATTTCCTAAGGACCATAGCCTTCTCATGTGCCTCTGACCAGGCAGCAAAGGGCAGCACCAGCACTGGATAACTAACTCCACACACTCAGAATGAAGGAAAGGCAGGCTAAGAGGATCATGTTTCCAAGAAATGATCATATTCCTTTACATCCACTATGCTTAACATTTATGGTAAACTGCCGCTGTCCTAACTTTAACACGGATGAAGTTCAAATGCTGTGTTACTGTTGTGAACACAGAGTGGAATCTAACAGAGAAAAACAACAGCAGATATGTGTTTGGCTGTTGGAAGAAATATGCACATTTTGCTCTTCACCCTTTTCCATCTCTAATATCATGCACCACAGAAGTCATAAATGCTGAGTCTTCAGCATCTCTTTTAAACATCATAAAGAACTTTTCTCCAGCTCTAAAAATGAGATGGAGAATTGCAGGCTGTCTCCCTGCACTCGGCACTAATCACTAACCTCATCCTGTCCCCGACGAACTTGGGATTCAAGAGTATACGCAAGATCCTTTTGTCCTTTAAGCTCCAAAAAACCTAATCTTGATTGGAGGGATTTATACAAATTTACAAATATGTAAAAATTTGAAAACAAAACAATCTACATTTGGCTGGTTCATCAGTGATACCGGATTCCACAGTTTTCACAGCATGGGTTGCTGAGAACACCCTCAGATATAGCTCCACGTGTCATGGCTTTAATCAGCTACCTGTATATCAAACATGAAGACAATAAGCTAATTTTAAAATTATATATGTCTGACTACATGGACAGAGGAGTATAGCACCATATGGGGGAATCACATGAAATTCCCTCCAAAAATTTCATGGAAAATTACTGCATCTAGAAACAAGCAAATGGTAATTTGCTGATGAGCAAATCAATAAAGAATTATTCACAAATTCCCTAAATATTTAACCAATGATTTCACATTTACAGAGCTATTTAAGGATTTAATGAATTCCTGTTTTCACGTTCCTACTGTAAGAGTCACACTTCATGGCATGAGTGTACTGTACTCAGTCATTCCTGTGGAAAATGCTATGATCTTGGTTGCAGACCAGTAGCCCCAGAGTGGTAGGAAATGTGACAGCTTGCCAAGTCTTGAAGACATAACTGTGTGCCCAAACAGACACCAAAAAAATAAAGACAGGCTGTAATTAATGCCCTAAAAAATTTGTAGTGACTCACCCCTGTGAAGATCAATCAATGCTTGTCTGGTCCATAATTGGCCATGTTAATTACACAAGCAACCGCAGTCAAACTATATGTGATATTTAGTTCAGTGTAATCACCATCAAAAATGTGCCACCTTATTAAACAGAACAGCTTCAATATTAAATCCACATCCAGTCACAAAACAGATTTAAACATACTGTAAATGTTACTTGCTTTCACTTTTTTAAAGAAGCCTGCTTCTGTAAAAACATAACTTGCATAGTATTAAAACTGTAGAAATGAAATAGCTCATTTATTTTTGTTTGTTTTTTTATGTTGAGATGCAGCTTACAGATTTTTTTGAGTTGTTCACAACAACAACAAAAAAACAATCAAGCACAACTAAAAACCTGAAAGCTTTTACGTTGGTGCAATCAGGCCCATTCTAGGGGAAAGCAGCAATCAAGATAACTTCATTTTTCAGCAACTGTCTCTGAGGACTGAAGGCTTTTAGTAAGCGTGTGGAGAAAAGATCCCATCCATTACTGAGTATAAACCAATTTACCCTGAGCTTTGCAGAGCTGCTCATTTCTGTGTCACTTACTAATTTTATTTGAGGCTCACCAACAAATGCTCTCGCACTGTTCTTGGCATTTTGAATTAAGAAGAAGTGATGGCTTTCTGCCCTTCAATGCATTTGAATGGACACGGAGATTCATTAATCTGTTTCCATTCAATCTCTGCCTCCTGTAAAGGTTGGTTAGTGTTCGCTGCCACTCATTTATCACTCGCTCATTGAGCGTTGATGATTCTAAGTGCCCCATATCCAGACACATCTCTTTGGCTGCTAACGTCAACGGCTGTTAAAGAGAATGCCCTTTGACCCTCACCTCAGCTCCGGGTATCCCCTCAGGTGGGCGGCACTGCAGAAGCACTTCCTGTTCCAGGGAAACCTCCTTCCCCAAGGGTTCCTGCTCAAAGGTTTTCCTGAGATCTGAAACAAAGTCACAAAGAGAATCATTTAACACTTAAAACACACACAAGACCCCACAAGGAAACCACTTTAAAAGGGCTGCCTTGGAACACAGGCACAGACCTCAGACTTCAAGCAAAAGATGTCAGAACGTACATGACTTATTTCTGTAAAGCATGTAATCTGATTTTTTAAAACGTTTATTTCTCCTTAAATTTAAATCATTGTTAAATTTGTTTTTGCAGTGCACTCACATGCGGTCCCTCCAGGCACTGAAGACAAGAATGTCTTTTATTAATCATCAACGCAAAAGGCGAAATTCCTGTATCCTGAAACCTGGCACAGAGCGGTATTGAATTGCAGCGTCTCAGGAGACTTTGTTGAAGCAAACCTGGGCTTCCCAAGAAATCTGACCTTTTTTGCTTTCTTGTGCAAAAAAGTCATTCATAATGAATGTTGTACTCATTCATATTAAGTTCCCATTAGCTTCAAACAAACAAAACAGCAAACAAAAAACATGATAAAAATAATGTTGTTTTCACAAGTTACTATATTTACTGTTAAAATAATAATGCTGTGCTGCTTTAAAATAACACTTAAAATTACAAACAACAAATACAAACCTGTTTTTCTGCTACAAGTTGCAGTTTAAATGCACTTAGCAGTTAAAATATTTGTTGATCAGTTAAAAGCTATTACAATTGATTCCCATTCTCTACAATCGACATTCATATTAACATGGTTATTCTTAAAGATCTATGCTCCAAGACACAGTCTGATCCCATGACCTCTGAAAGTAACTGTGAAGGTTTAAAACTGCAAAAGGCAACACTCTGGCCTGATCTCAGTGATGCCCCAGTAACTGAGGAGCAGAACAGAAGCCCTTATCTTTGGCCAATCGACAGAACTTGCTATGTGTAACTTGTGAGTGTGTATTATATATCCTGCACTTAGCTGATATGATCTGATTCTATTTTAACAACAACAAAGAAAACAAGCTTCCACAAAATCAACAATGAAGTCCTTTCCCCTCCGAACCCACAAGGGAAAAGGTGTCCCAGGTAAGTAGCAGATTGTTACACACAGATTAAATCACACTGTGCCCAGAAAACCAGGTGGAGATGCTGGAACATAATCAATGCACTCTACCCCAACAGAAAGCTAATTACATGAGATGATAAAAGTGTGGTCACATTTAATTCAACTACTGAATCAAAATATTCACTGAACCCTGGCATTGTCTGTTGCAAGGCTGAAAAATAAAGTACCAAATTTAGTACAGCTAGTTGACTTTTGAAGCAGGTCTCATTTATGTACTAAGCAGGTCTCATTTATATACAGGCTGAACAGAGAATGTACTATTTTAAGTATTGTAAAATAATCACTACATCTAGGGTGAAAATAGTATTTTGCTAGGGTTTAGCAAACCCATTAACTTTGTAGATAACTGTACTCACTACAGGTATGTACCACACACTGGTACAGAATGTGTACAGACACAAATGATGTAAAGGGCCCACAAACATATTGCACACTAAGAATTGGTTTTCTGTACTTGAATGTTCTGTTTTCTGTACTTTAATCTCTATTGGGATTGCTTTTGGAATAGTGTGCTGTGTTTTTGCCTTAATGACACAGTAATTCCTTTCACTGCTCTGAATGAGTCTGTCACTGATTCCACCCGTGTGCTTTCTTCTGCAATGTCTCTTGGACGAGCAGGAGAGGTACAGTAGGAGTGTTCAGTGCTGAAGACTGCAGTTGTTTAATCTGTTTCTGCTGAGACACCCGGGGGATATCCTGTCTCATCTTTGTGGAGGGCGACGAGGGACAGACTTCAGACGCCTCCTGGGCAGAGCTAATTCAGTGGTGAGTAATGAAGAGCTCTGAAAAAGAACACTTATCAAACGTCAGACTGGATGGAAACCAGAGGCATCCTGAAACTGCAAGGCAACTGTCAACGAAAGATTAATTCCCTCCCTCCCTGGACCCGAGGCACATGTTCCGTCTCAGTCAGTACTCCGATATCCAACCGGACAGGGAAGGAAGTCAGCACCAACAGATCAACCTTGATCAGAAAGTCAAGTTTTTTTGTTGTTGTTGATTTAATAAGAAGCCTTTCTTTCAAGCTGATTAAATAGGTGAGCGCTGAAGGAAAGAGCTGCAGGCAGCCTGCGATTAAGGCAGCAGTCACGGAAGGCAGTCTTTCCAGGTCATTAGAAACATATTCCAGTTTCTGTAGAGCAGTTGTAGAGATAACATCTTCCTGAAAAGAATGAAGCTCGCGCACCGTTTCTTCAAACACTTTTCAATCACATTTACAGAGGTTAGACAGCTCATTTTAATGGGAAAGCCCTGATTTAGCGACCTAAATGGTTCCCTAAATCACATGAGAGAGTGCAAACCTACTTTAATCCAGAGCCACACACATTACAGAATCCTAAAAACAGACGTCAGGCTACCATATTCTAACTCATACTGCCCTCACTGTTGTTATGTTATTTAGAGCTGCCTCTTGAGAGACTAGAGCTTAGATTCGGGGTCGGCCTCAGAATTGTGACTCCAACTTCAAAGATGGCTTGTTATAATTAGCATCATTCCGGATTCCTCTTTCCTGATGTAACTTTTATATTAATTTTGCAACTTTGACTGATCCAACAATCGGCACTTCTCTCAGAACATAACTTTCACTCAATATATATTTCATGAAATAGTGCTCTTCCTGACCTTTGTTGGTGATGGTTGTTATGTTGGACTCTGCAGCAAATCAAAATTTCCTGAAGGAGGTGAAAATACTGTACATTTTGAATTAAACTAGAAGTAGATTAAGTATTTTTAAGAATAAGTTATGCAATTAAGCCAAATTAAATAACATTTTAATTTAATTTTAATCATAATTACTGTGAAGATGAAAACGGATGTGAGGGCTCCTCCTTTAGATTAGACTGAATTTTGTCTCAACACAGCCTTGGCTGAATCAAACATGCATGACTTCAAGCACCTTGTCTTTTAGGTTCTAAAACATAAGAAATTTGTTTTCTAGGCTCTAAGAAAGAAGAAAACACAAATTATTCAAATCTAAAACAAAGAGTAAGAAAAAGTTTCAGTCCTCCTAGTTACAGTGAAACTAGGATTGATTTCAATGGGTTTCTCTAGACTCCACAAAGAGGAGAAAAGAACAGAGTGGGACTTAGCTCCTTCCACACTTCTGAACAAAGTGAAAGAGAAAGACAGATTCTGACTAAGGCCCAGTCTTCTGGGTCAGATCCAGCCCTCTGAGTGAAACTGCAGCCACTGCCTAAGCTTCCCACTGACAATCAGGCCAGCCACTGTTTCTAATCAATCTAAATGTGTACAAGCCAGGCTACTGGTAATCGTCTCTGAGAAGACCAGAATAAATGTGACTCGCAGCGCTGTCATGATGTAAGCAATAAAAAAGAGGCATTGCAGTGACTCTCACGGAGGCCTGCAGTGCGGTAATCTGTCAAAAGGAGAAACTAAGAGAGCCTCTTCAATTTTCCGCACTCCTGGAACATAAAGAATAGTGCAAAAATCCAATAAAGTTCTTATTACATGTTGACTTACCAGCATATGTGTATAACACTGTTACCTGGGTCTCTCTTTCTGCCCTGACTGGTGCTCAACCTGACCCTGACAAGACAACACTCCAAGGAATGTCCTCAGTACTGCTTGAGTGACAATAGTTTCCTTGCAAGATGAAAATGGAACAGTGTTGCCTTGGATACCCTCTGTCGGTTTGGAGCCACAATGAATATTTGAGGCATGAACTGGACCCTACAGAAGTCCGCATGACAGCCTCTGCAACATGGTGCAAACCACGAGCCACGGATGAAGCCTGTGTGGATGATGAAACTGATGAGCTTAATGAATTTAGCCAGATCGTGTGAATTGATGAAACTGTAAGTGGTTAAGTTTCTTTAACACGTTCTCAGCTGCAGTCTGATATACTGTAACTAGTGCCCAATTATTGTTCAGCACTGGATTCCCACCTTTGGGAAAAACTGCCTTAATGACAGTGAGCATGACAAAATCAACAAACTGAATTTCTTGTCACATAAACAGGAAAACGGGTTGGTGAGGCTGGTTTGGAATAGGACAACGGACATATCAGAAAAAACGTGACTTGTGCGTTTATGTTTGAAAGATGTATACATTTAATTGTATTGGAATGCCCAGTCTCCAGTCCCCTCTCACATGTATCCACTACTACAGCTAATAATAGAATTTGTCCTACATATGGACGCTGCATGGTTATTTTAAGGACAAGCCCAAAGAAAAAGAAGTCAGGTTTCAGGTCTTTGCTGCCTTAGAAACATATTCTATCACCTGGGGTGAGATTTAACAGAGTCTTTGTTAACCAAGATACCATGAAATACTGTGTGGGAACTGAGGTCTTTAGAACACAAAAACCCCTGAACACTAGGGTGCACAGAACACTGCATGATGCGAGTTTGTGTGTGTTTGCTTATGTGCCTAAGCAATTGATTTTCTTAAGAAATCACACTGCACTGCTGTGGGAACGCAGAAGTCTATTTCAAAGTTTTCTTAAGTGCATTCCTAATTTGGGAAAAAAACGTCAAAGGCTCTAAGCATCATTGATTCCCTTCTAAAACTTTGGAAGCCAAGACATCTAAACCATGGCATTATTATTTAATGTTTATGTTATATAGACTGTGAAATGGCAATATTTTAAAACATCCGATATTATTATCAATATCATTATTATTAGTTATACCAGCAGTTCTAGAGCTCTACAACATTTTTAAGTTTTTAGGTTATTTGGATATGGTCTACCAGGAACAATTATAATAAACTGGAACAGCATGGCTGAGTAGCTTGTTCCAGACTTCCACAACCAAACGTACATTACCTCTCAGGAAATCACAGCCCTTCTGTCACATGAAAATTACCTTTGCAATTAAAAGAAACTTTGTACTAGTCCTGGTTCAGCAGTACACAACCTGGGTAAAGCCTGCATTCAACTGAGACCATCTGTCCACAAA